GCCATATGCTTTACATTTTATTAGAACATTAATCCAAGTTGAAGTTGGAACAAAAATTTTAAGTCTAGAGTAAATAATTCCCACAGATTTTTAATGGGAAAAAAACAAAACACAACAATCACTTCACGAGACTTATCTACAAAATCCTAAGAACCGCAAATTAAACCCGGCATTATGCAACACAAATCCACTGCACGTTAGCTAAGGACAGCAGTTTTTTAAAGTTGTTTAAAACAAATGCATCATGTAAACAGATGTTCAAATATTGTAGTTCTGTTGCATAAAATGGCAAAATGTATCTATATATATAATTAGGAATGTGCACAAATAGTCAGCAAAAAATCCTCAGCAGTTTAAATTAACAATAATTTCTGGTTGCATTGGCTTATATAATATTTTGCAGAGTATACCTTGAGTTTTCTTTGAGGTACAGCGTCCCAGTCTATAGACCTGAACCATCGATGTCTTTTCACATCATCTGCTCCATTCTTTAAAGAAAAAGAGAAAAATTATTCTTAAAAGAAGCTGCATATATGCCAAAACACATATGTTATTACAAAAACTGTGGCATCAAGGCAGACTAACTTCCATCTAACCCTATATTTTCTCTCAGGTGGTAAGCAGTAGAAGATTTTACAGGGTAAGTTTTATGGTGTCACTTCCCACCATGTCCTGAGTTCCAGCAATAACATCCTCATGAAATTTAATTTTTTTAAAGCAACTTTTGATATGAGGAAGATCAAGAAAAGGCTTTCTGTAGAAAAAATTACAGAAATATTCATTTGGCCATAGAAAATCTTACTGTAGGTTAAACACTGATTAGTTTTTATGGAAATATGAATTTGATCTAAAATTATTTAATACATAACAAACTTGGAAAATTTTGTATCAGGTCAACATAAAATCAAAGCAGCGTTCTAATCTCTCAATTTGGCTATTGATCTGGTAAGCAGCTAAGACAAGCAAAGAAAAGCAAACCAAACCGCTGCTGTACACAGTTCATCTACTCACTGCAGTTCTGTTCACTTCTGTTTTCTCCAGTGTTTTAGAGAATGTCTCTTATTCAGCTATGCTTTCCAATTCCTGTACTAATTAGGAGAATAACCGAGGGCTGATGTTGTCAAACATGCCTAAGAAATGCTCAATTCTAGATCCTACATGTGTACCAATACAGTCAATGAGCCTCGGCAACTAGCTGCTCATCCTTTACCTTCTTCAGCAATGTGCTTTAGGCAAACCAACAAAACTACCAAAACTCTACCCTACTCTGTCCAGTGATATGGAAATTTTGGCAGTCTGAACACCTGAGGAATTAAAAAAGCTAATGTGGGTTTCTGTAATACTGTAACCATCACTGCAAGTTAATGAATATAGGATTAACTTACTGTGCTAGAAGGGTAGCAAAGTAAGTGCTGAGAAATTAACAAAACCTTTTTGAGTTTTTCCTCTATCTTTCCTATAGATTTCTTCCAACACTGTGCCTTGTTCTGTATGACATGCAGCATTTTATACTGACCTTCATATTTCCTAATCGTCTTGTCCTATCAACCACAAGAAGCTTCTTAATAAGGTCTCTGCAATAAACAAAACATTATATGTTATGTTAAACAAAAGCAAGTTACATTTGCCACCATACAAATGTTACAGAATGTGAGCATACTTCCTTTCGACTTAACTAATACTGCGTATAATTTCCCCAATTTTTCCATACTTCAAAACAGGTAAATGACAAAAAGTGCAAAAAGGGGGTAACCTGGTCTAAAAAGAAATAGGAAGATTTATTCCAAGTCTCTTTCAAGAAGCTCCACTGCAAAGAAGACAAAAACTCTCTTGTCTCTTTTGCAGTACCATATTTTTCTTAGCATTTTGCTGGACTTTTCAGATTTCAAAATATCTCAAACCTATTTTGCAAAACCTAACCATAAAGCATACCAAAATAAAAACACTTCTATTTTAAAAATTCATATTTAAGTTCTATGATTTTTAAACATTCAAAGAAACCACCTAAAAGCTACTCATCTTCCTAAAGTTAGTTCTCAAAAAGTTCACATTTCATTGCAAACAAAAATCCTCCTTTGAGGCTCGTTCATTGAACAACTCTACATGAAGCTATATTAACATTTTAAAAGATGAGGGTGAGTTCAGCAACAGAGAACTTCATTTGCAATCACCAAGTACTTGAAACATCAGGCACAAAACAATTCCAGTAGAAATTAATATGAGCACCACAGATATTGTTGAGTTAAATACATTACATACTGATTAAGAGAAAAATCTGGCTGCACATTTCGTAAGTAGTTACTTTCTATTTCAAAGATTATTTTGCTGTTTACTTGCAGCAAAATCAATTTATTCTCATCACATAAACCACCAAGGAGAGAAAAAAATTAAGCTTAACTCTCTTTCCAGTTTCTAAAGCCTAAAACGGACACAAAAAAAAAATACAGTACTGCATGAAACTCTAGGGAACTAAAAAATATGGCAAATTCAAACTCAAACATGCAGAAAGTTTTAAAGGAAAAAAAAAGGGGGGGGGGCAGAAAAAAGCAGATTTACAGAAGAAAGGCAAGCATAAGGGGCACATCTGCCTCCTCCTTACCCCAAACTGTAACACCTACCATTCTCCCCCTTCAAAAAAATATCACATCATGTACCCTACAAATCACAAAGGTATACATATAAGAATATATGAACTGAGACAGGATGTGTTGGACTGTTTGAAAAGCTGTTGTATTTGGCAGGGGCATAATTCTAAAACTCAACTGGAAAATATTCAATTGCCAGATAAAAGGCAAAAAAAAAAAAAAAAGGCAGTCAAAGCAGAAAGCAATTTTCTAAACTCTCTTCATTATTCCATCCAATCAGTGTTTGGATTAGATTAAATCATGTGACTGAATCCTTTTATGGTCACCTTCAGAGAAATATCTCCCATTTCTTTATGGGGAAGACTACTTGTTCTGGAGAAGACTACAATAGTTATAATCAAATTTTTCAATGACAGTAGGGCTGAAAAGCAATCCAGAAACCCAGAACTGGATTCACAGACAATATGAGCAGAATTCATTTCTGTAGTTTGCTTTTCCTGTACAGCTGGAGAATATGCAACAGGTCATTCTTGGCTTGCTTTAAAAATTCATCTGGGAATTGCACAGCTATAGGACAAGCTTACTCATTTGTTATCCCTGACGAACACACCTGCTGCATTCAGTAAAATAAATAACCATTGTGTCATCAAGTACTAACCAATTTTTTATTTATTACAGAGTTTCACAAGTATAATTTAGAAATGATAATGTTAAAAAGCTCTACAATAGATATGTTGCTACATCAAGGCATTCCCAGACCAGTATCATTAGGCTGTAACACTGACATTACATTTTGTACTTTACAAAACTGGTTTTGCCAAGAAGAGTTTACCACAGCAAGAAAGAAAAATGTGACAGAATGGAATAACTAGTAAACTCATGAGTGACCAAACAAACAGGTGGAACATCAATTAATACTTTGTTTTACCAGAAGTGATGCAGTGCAAAACTGTGCCCCCTACTTCACAACTACTAGGCTGTTAACTTATTATCATCTTCATGATAAAAGTGGGTCTTCAGAAGATATTTGATCTAATGGTCAACTGTACCAAGGACTCCATATACACAGAATAAAAGAATGCACAAAACATCTATCAAACTGTATGAAAGCAGAAGAGACACAGTAGAGAGCAATGTGAGAAAAAGCTAGCTTAGGCCAGAAGAAACAAGTTACAGGAGGTCTTACGAGATATGACAACGATGCCATATGATAGAAGAGAAAGCTAAAGTGGTAAAATTCAAAAAATAAAACAGGGAGGTGGTGGTGGTGGTAAGAGAAAATAATTTTTTCAGCCAACAGCTTCTGTAGAAGATCTTGGCAGAAAAGCTTTCTCAGGGTGCAATAGTAACAGTGGGAAAAACAACCTGGCTGTCTAAAAGCAGACAGAGTACAGCTAAATAATGGATTACATTAGAACTTTAGACATAGCCTGTGTGTGACAAATAGGAACCAATATATTTCCCAACCCTGCTGAGATACAAATGGAAGGAATGGAAGTAAAAGGAAAGGGAAGAGGGGAGAAGCAGGCTTATTAGGACAAGACAATCCTACTAAATGCTTTAAGTTAATGGTGCAGAGACGTCAAAGACAATCTATTTCTGCATTTTTTTAAAAAGGAGGAGGAAAGCTGAAGTAAGAGATGCATTATGCTAACAGTTCTCTGCAGAAAGAAGTTGAAGCCGTGCAAGTGCATGAGATAACATAAAACACATTGTAAAGGGTGAAGAACCTAGTCCAAATACCTTGAGATTTCTTTTAAAGGCAGGCATGTAATGGGACTGAACTGCCAAACACAAACTGAAAAAAAACATCTGGATGATGTATAAAGAAAACCTAGCAAAGTGCTATAGTAACAACCATGTTGATTAATATTGACTACTATTCATTGATGACCACATCTAGACTGAATATCAAGATCTACATGCTGACTACCACAATGAGAAAACTTCCTAGCATCAGGCATCCTCTACACAGCCCAGATCAGTGTTGGTTGTGAACGATGAGTACGAACATCACACTCACACAGGGGTGCACATACTAAGGGCACCCCAACATTTACATGTTATCACTATTTTAGACAGGCGATTAGTGACAACCACCTACTTTGAGCTGCTCATCTTTCTGTCACACTCTAAGCCCTCTTCCTGCTCTCCTGATGTTAATTCATGTTGAATTAACAGCTTGTAGTTCTCCTCTCTTCCTTCTCCCACAACGCCCTGGCATCAATGAGCGTTATACATTGCAAAGCATTTAATATTTAAAAATATGCAGAAATTAAGAGATTAGAATATTATAACCATATCCCTACCTGAAAATACATTTTAAAAATTACTTGAACATTGAAACTAAATGTAAACCAAAATGTATTCAACACAACGTTCTAGAAAATCAGCAACTGGTAACTATTTATGAAAATTATTTTAAAACAGTGCTCAGGAGGTATGTAGAATATAAAAGATAGCTTTGGGAGCCAATAACTTACTTCACATACAAATCCAAATGCCTTGGGAAATCTATTTTGCCAGCAAGAATCTTCTGATATATACCAAATGGATTGTCATCAAAAAATGGAGGAAACCTATTTTAATACAGCAAATTTTTAGAGGTTAGAAAAGGAATGTGCAAAAAAAAAAAAAAAACACCAACGTAGAAGCAGTGTTACACTACACTAAGTGCCAACAAAAATCAGGAGCTACATAATTCTTTTTGGTAGGGCAACACTGTCAACCACATACTACTTGAAGAATAACATTAGTTACCAAGCCATACTGAGGCTGCTATTGCAAAAACAGAAAACATTTTTATACATAGTACATTCAGAATGTAATTGAAATTAAAGTATTACAGGAAAACTATTTCTTTTATTAAAACAGTAACAACATATTTGTGAAACAAACTATCAATATTACAAAGTCAGAAGTTTTGAGTCTTTAGCGGTAAAGCCCAAGGAGTACTTTCCAAAACAAAACGACCATTCTCAATCTTTTCCTGTAGCTGGCAGCCTACACTTGCTTACTCTTCTTCACCCAAAGCATCAAAGGACCCTCATAGGAAAATAGCATCAAGCTCCGTTATTTATTGTATTTCTTTAATGTAGGTGTAGGCTTTGTTACAGAGGTTTGAAGACAACAGATTTTTCAGTCCTTAGAAGTCTCTCAAATGGCTGCTGTTCCTTCATATTGAGGCAGATACGAGACTAATGCTTCATCATTTTTAAGATGATCACCAAATTAAGAATTCAACTAAAATTCTGTGCTTACTATTCTAAAACGTTCTCTATAAAGTTAGGAGCCAGTTGACAGACTGCTTCTTATGTTACATCCGCAGTAACAACTGAGACTATTTTTTTGTTGTGCTTCTTTTATTAGCGTATGAAATACACTCCCACTCTGCCCCTTAAGTAACTAGTGTATCAGTACTGTAGGTTTAATTAGCATAGATCCTGTGCCAAGAAATTTTCAGAATGTCCCCTTGCCCAGTCCCCTTTCTAGAAGTTCCCATGAAAAGAGTTTTTGGGCAATGGGTAACTATGTATTCACTAATCTCAGTCCCAACTTGGCTTCCATAATGTAAGCAAAGCACCTTGCTTAACAATGATTCTGTCTCGAAATCTTGTACAGAATAAAGATTTTGATCATCGACCATAGTAATAACATTAAATTACTACTATATTCTGACAACTAAAATATTTTCACGTCTCCCTAAAGTTTCAAAGACTTTTTTCCCCCTCCAAGAGAACTGACTTGCGTGCACACACATACTCTGTTGGTAACTTTGAGAAACACTAGCAATAGAAACAAGGCCTGACCCAAAAATACTTGTTTGTTCCACATTACTACTTTTTTTTTTTTTTTGTTATTCACTTGAGCTTACTCAAGAAACAAACACTATGCACTAGTCCCACTACATCAGTGTTTTCAGAAGAACTAAGTCCTTTGCTATTCATCTGATTGCCAAGTGGATTAGCATCTCCTTTAAAATACTGCAAAATTCACTCAAGGAGTAAGCCAAATTTCAGAACAACTGTTAAATAATGCTAACTGCATGTGTAATATTAAAAACAAACAAACAAACACAAACAAACAAAAAACCCCACACAAGACAAAACTCACAGTTTGGAAATCTTACTGACAAACTAAACTGAAACTTGACCCTACTTGCAAGATAGCATAGGTCTTGTCCTGGAAGCTACCAAATAATTCAACAGACAAAACTTTTGAGTTTCAGGACATGTTCCCATCAATAAGGCAAATACAAACAGCTGCCCTTTTTTCCCCCCACAAACTGCAAAGAATCTAAAGGTCTCTGTGTATGGAACAACATCTGCAAACCATTCCTTTTGATAACTGATGTATACAACAGCACTGACATTGGTGTTGCAGATAAGAGACAGAAGAAATGTGGCCAAACCTCAAGTGAATACTCACAGCTCTTAGATTATGACACTGTAGATAGAAACAACTACCTACCTAAACAGACAGACCAATAAATAGGTCACATGTGACTACTAGAGCAAAAATATGCAAACAAATAAACAAACATCCAGACCCCCTCATTAAATAAAAACTTTTACTTGGCTATGTGTCTGATGACAGTACTGTATGACCTAACATATTTAACACCTTAAATAAGTACATTTTGTTCTGTGGCAGATTGTAACCTAATGCAGTTACTCAAAAATGCCTTTTTTTGAGGGGGAAAAATATGGATCAAAGTGATCAGAGCCACAGAACAGTCTTTGAACTCTTTCTATTGACTGCTTAGCCCCCCCCACCCCCATTTTTTAAGAATAATTTCATGACTATTATAATTAATCTGTTTTTGTCATAAGATTTCTTTTTATTAAGTTCTCCCTATTCACCCTCTTCCTATATTTTCTTATCTTGAACATAAGTGAGGCCTTGTCTTAAACTTAGTATGTGCAAAATTAGAACTTCATGGACCTCCACAGATACCAATAGGTTAGAGAGTAAATAGAACAGGCAAGCATGGTTTTATTTTGTTTGCTTTTAGACAGACCATTTCCTTAAACACAACTCCTTATTCTTTTTGATTGCATTGGGGGTTCACAGATAATTACCTAAGGAAATAACTACCAAATGTCATAAGTCATTTCTTCACAAAGACTTAGTCATGGAGTTAGGCACACATTCAAGTAATTTACCTCTTTCTTAAATCTCTTGTTTTTGCATTAGAAGCTTTGATAGTAAATAAAAAGCAACATGTTTAGCTGGTGAGGCCAAGTATTTCAAACAAGTGATACTAACAACAACAGTGATAAAGTTAGTAAAATGATAGAAGTGTATTCTCTTCTAGAGATAGAAGTGTGGTAACCTGCCTGCTTAAAGAAAACGACATGTACAAAACAGCCCCCTCCAAAACAAAAGAAAGCCAACAGAGCCTAAAAACTGCCCAGGTTTGAATAGAATAAAGCATATAACTATTATGAAAAGTATATGTACATACTTCTATCATATAGATATATAACAGATACATCTATCATACAGTAGTAGACACCACTATGAAACCCCTTGCTGATGATAGCTGCTCTGTCAATCCAAATCCAAAGGCTCCATCAAGCCAAATATCTCACTTGCCTTCTAAGAAATGCGTGGCTTCTCTCTACTGGTTAAGAATGTAATTTAAACTGAGGGAGATTCAAATCTCATCACTTGAACCTTCTTCCCTCAGGACAGAGAAGATCCTGCTTTGGTTGCTGCTGTTCCCTTTTTACTAGACTTCCTCTTTCGGAGGATACAAACCAATCATACTTCAGTGTACTGCAGTCTTTGCATCTCACTGATTCCTATGTAGACATGTTCCTTGTCTTCAACATATTTTTCAAAATTAACATACTGACATCGCTGCTCTAGTGGAGAGATTCCTATCAACCTCTGTAAGGCAGGAAAGAAAGGAAAAAAAAAAAAAAAAAAGAACCATTTTCTCTTACACTTAGACCCAAGAAAAAGCTGATAGACCGTGGTCCCGCAGAGTCGTATGTCAGAAAGTTAATTTGCTCAGGTACAGGTGGAAAGTAATTAATTCTAGAACTACTATTCTATACTAGTTCTATACTAGAACTAGTACTAGAATTCTGGATGCTTCTGTCCGCAGTCTGCCTGATGTCTGGCGTAAAGTTTAGAGTATATAAAGCTCCTGGGCTCCCTTCAGCTCTCCAAGGAGGATTCCCTTGACTAACCTGGCCATTCACTCTTTCAGGGAGTAGTGAAGGAAAGGAGAAGCCTGACCTCTGTAAAGATCAGTGAAGGCTGCTCAAAAGAAAAAAAAAAAAACCACCACCACATCTTATCAGATCAGTCAGCCAAGCCTGCTTGGTCAGTACAAAACTGCTAGTGTTTTTTGTTTGTTTGTTTTTGGTCCAGAAATTGCCTTGGGATTCAAAACAAATGCATATACAAGCCTCTTGGAAATGAAAGAACCACCCAGCCGGCAGCAATGCTGTCCTGGGATAAACTTGACTATTATCTGTGCTGCTTCACAACAAGTGTGTGGGCATATAAACATACACTATGGAAGGGATCTCTACAGTGACCGTCCACTGAGCGGCTTGCTTTAACGCTAGAAGAGTAACAAAGGTTATCCTGAGCTGATGGCATTACATATAGAAAGGAACGCATCTCTGCCAGGTTGCTTTTGTTCTGGCTTTACTTTATGCAGATGTAGAATGAGAGACCTTGAATTAAAAAAAAATCTAAACGTATGTGCACATGCAAAATGAGGAAGCACAGAGCATACCTATGGCCTGGTACTGAAAAGCGGCAAGGTCTAACCATTGTTAAAACCCCTACTGACTAATTGAAATTACTGTTTCTTAGGAAAGCTATGAAAGCATTAAGCTGATGTTCATTTTCTACTGCAGCTACCTTTAGTGGCAAAATAGAATAGTGATTGTATTTTAGGAAATCAATTTTGTTTGTTTGGGGAGGTTGATTTTTTTTTTAATAATAATAGATTTTACTAAGATTTAAAACAATGCATTCATGTCCTTTCCAACCTTAATGATTCTACAATTCTATGACATGTTCAAAACACAAATATTAATTATTTAAACAGTTATTTTTAGAATATTTCATGTTATCTCTATTCTAATTACTTATTTTAATAGAAGTAGTCTGATTTTTAAAAGGAAACATTTAAGCAATTACTTTGATCCCCCTAATAACTAAACTCAGAAACAGTTAACTAACTATGTTAGTACCTGAAAGTCTCTCTTCAGTGGCAATGGCTTTTTTTTCCTAGTAAGATACTGCCATCAAATTACTCCACAGTACTAAAACTAACGTTTGAGAGATATTTCAAATGTGTTTCATCACGCTGATTTCAGAATAGGGCACTTAAACCTTGGACTATTTTAAAATAAAGAATTACAAGGTAAAAACAAAAACTCACAGGTTCACATATAAAACTTTAGACTTAAAAAACTAAATTTACACAACATATTAGAAAAACTGCAGCTATAAATAAGAAAATCATAACCATCTAATATACTTTAATAAAAAGAAGAGAGAAAAAGTAATGATGGTGATATATATTCCTTTAAACAGCTATACTCCTTTCTTCAAGGATAGTCAGAAAAAAGGTGCATCGGTATTATACTTAACTTAGCAAATTTGAACTACCTACTTAAAAGTATCATAAAAAGAAGCAGCAAAGAATCTAATCTCAGCTTTGATACAGTATTACTGTGACACACTGGTCAATACTTCTATCACTTACCCTGACAACATCTCAAATATCAGAATTCCCAGAGCCCACCAATCCACAGCTCTTCCGTGGCCTTTGCTTTGTATGACCTCTGGCGCAAGGTATTCAGGGGTACCACAGAGCGTCCATGTCCTGGGAGAGAGGAAGAAACAAAACCAGACTGGAGTGAAAATGAAAACACAGAATAAGGAAGAAGGGGGGAAGGAGAGAAGTTGATGAAGATGCATCTATTTATGCATATTTATTACATATATAAATAGACAAATCTATATAAGCTCTGAAACAACGGCTGCCATGATCAGGATCAGGACACTGATTCTCCTACCTGCTAGCATGCTGCTCTACCCATCTGGCCATATATTCTATATATTGCTTTGCCATTGCCAACAGTGGGTTTTACCCTGTAAGCTGTAGACCTTTTCCCCAAAGTCTAAGAACTACTACCGATGGCTCCAGCAAAAGACGAGATTATTGTAAACCTGAATCTCCATCAGAAAAGATTTTTATTTAGAAAAATGAAAATGGTAGTGTGGGAAAGGTAGGAGTTTAAAAAACAGTAATTCCAGAATCCTTGAACAGGATTCCTTTCTCAATTTAAGTAATATGTTTTTTAAATAGCATTGAAATATTATCCGGCGATTTCTTTATAACATCTATTAAAAGGTAAACATTTTATATTTTTAATTATTTAAAATATTTACAAACTGTAGATAAGCAAATGCAAAGGAGGTAAGTTATAATGTCTTATTTTTGACATACTTCTAATGTCTTGCTTTCATTTATATCTTATGTTTTATAAACCCCAGGTTATCAAAAGTATTATATTGCTAGCTAACTGAAATATATACTTTAAATTCTATAACTTTATGAAATAAATTGAAGATGAGCAGTTACTGTTTAAAATATCTAAATGACCATCTGAAGTACCCGAGGGGTGATTGTAGGGAGGATGGGGACAGGCTCTTCTTCGTGGTGGCCAGTGACAGGGCAAGGGGTAATGGGTACAAGTTGAAACACAGGAAGTTCCACCTCCATGTGAGGAAGAACTGCTTTCCTGTGAGGGGGACAGAGCCCTGGAACAGGCTGCCCAGAGAGATTGTGGAGTCTCCTTCTCTGGAGAAACCTGCCTGGATGCCGCCCTGTGCCATGTGCTCTAGGTGTCCCGGCTAGAAAAGGGGGGTTGGACTAGATGATCTCTAGAGGTCTCTTCCAAGCTTAAGCATTATGTGATTCTGTGTGTGAATCAATACTATGCTACCATGTTTCTGGTTATTATAAAAATATGAACTTGTCTGTGTAAAAATACCTGACAAAAGAGTGTTGAATTTGACTAGCTTCACTCTCTTGACTGATTTTGAAACACAGTCTACAGACACAAATGTGCTTTCAGTTAATAAATAGAATTACTCTTTCCTGGTAGCAAGTCAGAGGATGGAAGTTTGAAAAAGTGCTGAACGATTAGAGAGAGAACAAAATACAAAGCAGAATAAAAAAGAAAAATTGGAACTTAAGAAAGGTTTTGGTAGAAATTAAAAAAAAATGAAATTAATGATCTCTATGTAGTTTAAACGACTGATTTCTAACTTACTGCAAAAGAAACAGATTGCCAGAGTTGTGTGATACGAATCTTCTCCAAAGTGCAAATCACACTGATAACTTAGTTCTGAACTAATGAATTAATATGAATTGCAATCCCCTTCAGTACCTTCTAGTTTTCCCTAACACTGAACAAATTTTCTTCTTCTCAAGTATCCAATACAGACATGGCTATTCAAGACCCATATTATAGCATCTCAGCCTATCAAAGCATTTTTAACACATTAAATAATTCCACAATCTCAGGAAAATGTTTTGTTGGAAACAAAGAATTTGATCAAAAAGATTACGTTTCAGCCTTGATTTATGAAATACTTAAGATCAAGGAAGAGAGGCTCTTTAGTCAAGCCTTTACAAGATGTATGATGCACATGACCAAGTTTCTTTAGCTGAAGCACTTCACCTTTTGCTGCATTAAAGTCAGGCCTAAACTGTTTGAATGATATGGACACACTGTGCATCCAGATGCTCCACAGCTTTTGAAATTATGTTCATTAGTGTAAAGAACAGTTCTTCAATTTCCAGCACACAAATGGGAAGCATAATTTTATTGCTAGAAAATATGAACTCATTTTCCAAATCAAGCACATACAAGGGAATGCCCATGTACAGCCCTGCTTTAAACACTGCTGCCATCTAGCAGTTGCCTGGACCATGACTAGGTAATCAAGGAAAAAAAGAAAAGTATCAAAAAAGTCTTGCTACCTTTTAAAGCAAATAAAATTTAGGAGGCTACACTACAGTTCTCTGTATGGCTAAATCTGTGAATAAAAAAAAAACATTATTGGAAATGAAATATCTTCCTGTTTTACTGAAGTATCTGGAAAGCAGGGCCAGGCAAATGAAGCAGGTAAGACAGGCACCTTCGCGCCAGCTGACAAGCCAGACGTTTTTCAGGACCGCCCCAGAACAGTCGTTCTTCTATCCCCCAAGCTCCACTGCATTAAAAGCTAGAATCTAGCACAGCAAGGGCAGAGAGCCTTGGACTCTTTCATCACTTATCAAAATCAACTGAATCAAAAATCTGTCTAGTATTTGACTAAAACTTGCAGGACTCAAAAGATTATTTGCCGCTTCCAACATAACAAGTGATATGTAATTACTAAGTTAATGACAAGATCTTTTTTGTTCAGTTGAAAGGAAAACTACAAATTAAGGAAAAGACAGCATATTCTCAAGTTCCTAGCTGTACCAGTAAAGAAAGCACATAACGTAAAGTCTATAAAAAGATCAAGTTCTCTTAATTTCTTTAATTATTATTTCATGACTGTTGTATAATCTGACCCTCTAGAAGAGCCTTCTGAAGGTATATTTTAAAGTAGAAAAATAAGAACAGAGTGTTTCCTTTAAACTGCTACAATAATTCCACTGCTCTGCATTTTTAAGATAAGAGCTGAAATATAAGTAAGCAACTGTTGATAAGGTTAACCATATGTATTTTAACATGGAAATGAAAAAAAAAAAAAAAAGAGAACCAACTGTTCAAAAAGATAAGCTATCAAATAATATTTGCAGAACTTGTTAATAATAATAAACATCTAAATAAATTAAAAGACTTGGCAATTAGCATATGTCAATATTTTACAGTACTTAGCATTTACCTCTGTACCTGACAAGCTTCAAACAGGATCCCGAGATCCTAATCTCCTTTTTAAAGCCTTCTTTGGAAAATTTCTGCATAACTATGTTCAATGAAGATTGCTTTGGTTCCAGCCCACATGGGTTTGTTCTGCAGGATATTCTTGCTTTCACATTCAATACACTTTACAAACAAGATTTTCTGCATTTTGTTTTCTCTGAAGTCTGCTGTGCAGAATTATCATGAGCAGGAATCACAAGGCAACAATGCAGAAATATCCAAAAAACCCTTAAGATTAATCACTTAAAAAGCTAAGTAAAATATTCTTAAGGATCTAGAAGACTTTCATATTTTTGACTTTTTTGTTGGAATTTTTAAACCAAATAATATAAACACGAATAGAATAACCTTCTTCTAAATATCACAGTTCTATAACTTTACACTTCCAGGGACTTTGAGTAAAATCTGTACAGAAGAACTGTAAAATTCTATGAACTTTGTGCTTTTCTCCAAAAGATTCTAGAGGGAAAAGAAAGGGGAAAAAAACAGAAGTAGGAAGGAGTAGAAACATTTTAGATGTATATATTACACTTGAAAAAGTGCTATGTGCTTGATAGAAAAAAGAAAGGTCTAAAAATGTAAAGGCAGTATGGAATATATGGTTATTCCATATACTCAATATACTTCAGATGACAGTCATTTACTTCCTCCACCTCTTTTCCACCTTTTCCTCACACTGCCCTTTTTTTCCTAAAGGGATGGCACACTTACTGTATGTTGAAGGTACTTACAAGAAATTGAAAAAGTTAAGTCTTCAGTTGGATAATATGGAGGTGGAAAGAATAAAGCAGCAGCAGTTGAAGCAAGAGAAAAATTATGACAGAAAAGGGAGAAAAGTTTTTCTGTTTACCCTCATGAGGAAAATAAGTAGACAAGAAAACCTCCTCTCCTTTTTCTTTCTCTAGAAAAAAAAAAAGAGATTAAGATCCAGGATGTCCTGGGATGTAGCATTTTATTTCCAGTGAGAAGGCAGGGGGCAGCTTCACACAGCGGGAACACCAGCAATGAGGCAGCTCCCCCCTCTAGGGCAAGGAGCACTTTGCCCCCAGCCTTTCACACAGGGCAAGGGGAAGAGAAGTGCACAGAGTCTCAAGCAACTACAGATTAATTTGTAGGATGGAAAATGTATCAAGAATGTGGTTTGCTATCAGAAGCTTTCTGTAGAGTAAGTTTTTTTCACATGCCACATCTGCTGCCTGAAAAAACACCATTTCAGTCTTCACTAGCATGTTCCTCAGAGTCATTTGAAGAATTCACCTAATTTGCATTTTATTTTCACAATTCTAATGGTCTGAATATATTCACATACCCAGATATAGAAAGTACATGTACATACATATAATGTGCACGTGTGCCGATATGCCATACATAAAACGAATGCGAACAACTGTATCTTAGATCAAATACAAACCTTAGATCAAAAAGTCTATAAAACAAACCAGCTTACTAAAGAGTACTAGTGGATAAACTGCTGACTACTTATTACAATGAGAAAACACACGGTTGTCAAGATACCTACTGTTACCAGGGGAAGTACCATGCAGTCACCAAAAAGATCAGAACCTGTGCTCTGACTGATAAAATGCATGCAATCCTTATTCCTCTACCTTGTGTTCTGCATTTTATATAACCACTTGTACATTTATAGCTGAAGTTGCTAGCAGTTTAAAGTGTGTACCACATTCTGTGTTTCAATTCAGTAGGAAGTATTTAACTCCTATGGTTCAAATGTCCCCATGGAAGAAAAATACACAGAAAATATAGTAGAGAACTTGCTGTATGTCCTAAAATGACTCTGAATTAACTTTGTTTTACAGACATATCTCCCAGATGGAAAAAATGCACTTTGATTTAAACTGTATGATGCCCTTGTAAGATGAACGGCTACTCCTGTTGTGCCTTAAGAGCACAGAACTTCAAATTAATAACCACTAAGTGGCAGTATCTACATTCGAAAGAAAGACATAAAAATCAGTATGAAAATACCTTAGAATAGTTTTGCCTCTTTCTGCAAAAAGTCATCCTAATTATATAAAAAATGTATTTTTTTTTAAAAAAGTTGCCAGCATTTACAAACCTAACCTTCCCAGTAGGAATCAACTTTGATCAAACACACAGATATTAGGATCCAATAGGAGTGGCTCCCTCAAATCCATGTGCATTTCAGACTGCTTTTGTAGGATTTCTTACAGGTACTTAATGGTAGCCAAAGAAACTTCAAAAAGGTGAAATGGACAAGTGGAGATAATGAGCATCTTTCCAGTGAGAACTGACAAGCTTCTGATATTGCTCCAACTACAGTGATCAGATAACGTCTTCCTCTGGAGGCCGCCCCAGAGCACTATGCCAACCTCGCCACAGATTTTGTCTAATATGTCAGACGAGGGTCTCCTTATTTTCAAGGCTAGTAACAGTTCTTATGTATCTTCAAACAAATCTATTATAATCCTGGCAGAGTAGTTCAGATGGAGAGAGGAGAGAAATGAGAGGAGAAAAACTTTGCATTACCTGTAAAACCAAAAACCCCAATGTATTCTAGAAGTTGCACAGTCAAATTATTTTTTGGTGAATCTGGCATTTTGATTCTTTTTTTTTAGATTTTGCGATTTAATTTTAGCAATGTGCTCGTGAAACTACACAATCTATTTTTAAAATGACTCCAACCTTTCAAAAAATCTCTCTAAAAAAATATAAAAAACTCAGAAAAAAGCCAATCAGTTATAAGGAATTCACTAGTTTAATCTGTATGGAGACTGATGTCATTGTCATGGATGTTAATATGGATGCACACATCTCACTATTTGAGCATTTTACTTTACTCAATTCACTTTTCTAATATGAGAAATGCTGAAAAACAATGCCCAAAAATATTCACACAAAAAAATTCTCTACCACAACTTCCCTCTAATATTGCTTCTAGCTGTACCTACAATGTAAAGCTGTTTTCAATACAGCAGGTAAAAACACCATTTACCTTGTGTATTAAAGGATTTGACGTGTGAGTCATGATGGGCATAGGTGAGATGATGAGCTATGAAGTCAAACTGTATCTTCCAATTGTAATTATGTTTCTTAAAGCTTAAAAAAAAAAAACCCCAAACTTACCTATCCACCAGTTTTTTAGCAAATCCAAAATCTGTAAGCTTGATATGTCCTTCTTTGTCCAGCAATATGTTTTCAGGTTTTAAGTCTCTGTAAACTATTTCTTTGGAGTGCAGGTATTCTATTGCACAAATTATTTCTGTAGAGTAAAACAGTCCTGTGCTGTTGTTGAAGCGCCCCATGTTGCGTAGGTAACTGAAAAGTTCTCCTCCTGGGACATATTCCATTAACATGTATAGAAAACGTTCATCGTGGTAGGTCCAAAATCTGTAATAAAAAACATTGTTTTAGTAAATAAACAAGTAATCTCTCTGATTTACTTTAGAAGTAAGTTTCCCTAAATTGATCTCTCTTTCTCTGAATAACTTAACTGTTAGAAAGATTGCTTTATATTGTGTAAGACTGTTCTCTGTCAAACGCTCAATAATTTAGGATCCTGCTAATACCAGGCAATTCTCATGTCACATTTTTATTCGTCTAAATATTGTCAAAATGATGGGGGACAGGGGAGCAGAACCTGCATTTGTGAAGATTATTTACAACAATATGTTTGAATAGAGGACACTACAGAGTTATCTTGCTCCTCGCTTATCTATGTCTTAATACACAGGCACATCATCTCAATCTACAGTGACCAGTTACTAGTTAAATGTAAAACTACACTGCTCTTCTACAATCCCTGTTACTGATCTTTTTGAAGAGGAAATGACAGCAGGGCAGTATTGATTTCTGAATCTTGGGGTTATCCTCTTGGTAAGTGTATTCCCAGACTGTTACATCTACTTTAAGGAATACTATTGCATCACATTTATTACTAGACTGCAGGGAAAAAACAACAACAAAAAAAAAAACCAAGCAGCTAAGGAACACAAAGTAATTCCAAGCAGGCTTCAGAAGCCTCCTCACAGTATACAAGAGCCTTCTTTCCCACATTCTCCAAAACTAAAACGCTTTTCTTGCTACCCACATTAACCAAGTCACATACCACAGACGTGAATATAGCCCAACAGTTGAGAGGAAAATCTGTATTTGATAGCATCTGGAACATACATTATTCTTTTAAAAATGAGTAACTACCATTAGAACTATGACAGCAGATAAAGAACACTGCATCCCCTCCAACTTCTCTTATACAAGGACAGAAGTCACTTCAGTTCCTAATAACTGTCAAGAGACTATCACAAGAATGGAAAGATCAAATACTTGTAATATTTTCTTCATTATCTGGTTCTTAATCAAGCTGTGGAGTTCAAGAAAATAAGCAGCAAACTGAGTTCCCAATCCCATGCTCAAGAAAGATTTTCTTTCCTCCTACAGGCTCTGAGGGCACTGTCATAGAAAGGAGACATCAAATACAACTCCCCATAGGATTCAAATGATAAGGAAAGCATAGTCCTGGCTTCTGTCCCATGCTTTTTATGAAACTACTTCCCCACTGTAGAGTCCTGAACATAATTAAATGCTATTATTTGTATCTTTACTCACTATTTAAAAAACAATCTTGAGAAGTATTTTAAGTTAGGCAAAATTACAACCATAAGGAACAAAGAAAGATGAAAGCCCAACCATAAATATAATGTAATATATATAATTTACACATAATATATATATAATCATATATTATAGTTTATATGCCTAACACAACATGATTTATTCTTAATACTTCTTGTTTTCTTGAAAACATCTTAAACATACAATACCATACATACTGTTGCTCCGACAGTTATGATACTTTACACAAAAATGTCAGTAACGTTCACCTATGAGACCACTGATCAGGCATTGCATGAGCATAAAATAAAGAAAAAAAAAATAGAAGAGTAGTAGATAAATAACTTCACTATCCCCAGAAAGACTGGCCCAGGACCTCCCTACAGCCAGGAGGGACATTTCTCAAATACAACATTAAAAGCCAGGGAAAAAAGTGTTTACAAAATACAAAGAAGATGAACTAAAAATTAAGTTATTTTTAAGTGCAGCATCACTTTAAAATTCTCCACTATAAAATGTTCGAAAAATTGAGTATTATGCTGCACTGGCACATATTCATTGTGTTACAAGCTGGAGGAAGACATTGTCTCTGTTTAAAGTGGCAACATTAACTGGAAACAGAAAACTAGACCACATAAATAACACTTCAAAGACTTCTATATACATTATAGAAATATTTTCAGCCTTTTTGACAATTAATTCCAGTTCAAAAGTGTCCTGGGAGAAGAAGGGAAAAAAAAAAATAAATATAACCTAGATATAAATTAAACACCCTGTTCCTCCTGTTCCGTCCAGATTTTAACCAGTCTAACCAGATTGATATTACTTGCATGCTTTCTATCCTGCTTTTCTGCACCCGCCTCCACATACCCCAGCACTCCTCGTACGGATGCTGTGCCAGGTGTGCAACTTCAGACTGCCTGCTGAAACCCAACAATCACGGCGATGGAAAAAACAAGTGTACCAGGGAGAAAACACTGTCTATAAGGCTTTTTCCACCTTTGGGAAGACTCTTATGCCTTTGCCTCCTCTATCGCTTCGCTCATACCTTTTAGGCCTTGCGAAGATGCGGCACTATCCTCATATATTAATGAAACTAATTTTATCTAATTTTGTGTAAAACTGATTAAAGTAGGCAAGCGCAAAATGAACTCTTGGTCAATAGCGCTCTATTGATGAGCTAGAAAATATAAACAGAAGTTATTAACTGCACAGTTATCAAGACATTTAGTTATTCACTCAGGTACACAAAAGACTCAGGTACACAGAAAGAGCTGTGGTGGAGATCTGAACAGGTAATGATGCTCCTTTCTCTCCTTATTAAAGGAATCACTGGAATCATTGACCTACCAATATATTAAACTATCACTCATGAACTACATTCAGTTAACATTCATCAGTAGATTATATCACTTTACCTCAAATACAGGAAAAAAGCAACATTATGAAGTGCTCTTCTCACTTAACACAATACAACCTTTTTAGTGAGTCCATGAAGGCAAAGTTTGCAAAACATTTGAAAAAGGTCAGATATTTAAAACAAATTCTAACTTCTTCTAGATACCTACAGTGAATATACCATATTGACTACCTAAACTTTACAGTGTACATGACTAATGAAAGCCAACACAATCTCGAGATATCAGTAATTTATGCAACAAGAACAAGCTTACATTCCAACAAAGAGTAGGCACACGCTCACTGCTCGCCTCCTCCCCCCTCTTTTTTTTAAGCCAGCATCCCACTTCAAAAGGCTAATGTTGCTGAGGTAAGAAAGATCACAAAAGCATTGAACACAAACAAACAATGGATCAAATTAAAACACTCTATTAAAAAAATCCCTATGTTCTTTGATAGGACTATAAACACAGTGGTATCTTCCATCGTTCTTTCAATATTAAACATCTCTACCACTCCTCAAGGCTCAAGTATTGCCTGCCTGATAGGGCAATTTTGCTATCACTTCACAGAGGATATAGGTAATAAAGATAACATAGATAATGATCTAGATTGAAGATAATACTCTTTCATGGGCTGAAGAAAAACTTATGTTCTTGCTGTTCTAAGACTAAGAAACATGACTAGAGTTTATTTCAATGAGCTAATTCTAACATTTCCTCATTAGTATTTTCCCTTTTCTAAGAAAATTCCTTTTCTGCTGTGTGAAAATGGAGGTAGATTATTTCAACAGAAAAGATTCATAATAAATTATTGCTTAAATATTTAAACTACATTGCTTGATTTCAAACACGTGATTCTCCTATAATATTTTAGTCTGAAGCCTATTTTAACTAGACTGTGGAACGAAAACTGGATGCTTGATGCTGGTTAAGTAAATAAGGGCTTGCAATTAATTTCTGTGCCACTTTGGTCTTACACAAAGTACAGTAAGAGTCAAATGAATTAAAAAAAAAAGAAGTAAAACTTACAATCGGATCAAAAATGGGTGATTGACCTCCTTCAAGACCGATTTTTCGTTGTGCACATGTTGTTCTTGCTTCAGTCGAATAACGTCTGGAATGCTCATTACTTTCAGTGCAAAGTAACGTTTGGCCATTTTTTCCTTCACCAGATGAACACGCCCAAATGTGCCGGTGCCTGAAAAGTTGAGAAGAAGTGTCAACTGACCACATACTTCCTTCTTAAAATAAAATTAAAAAAAGCAAACAAGCAAAAAAAAAACCAATTTATAACCCATGATATTACAACTTATACACTATTCTAATTAATATTGTATTTTTTTTAACTTGTCTCTATAGATTTTTTTCCTTGGGATTTGTTTATGGAAAATGATTTAGGAAAAGTAAGGGTTTTGTGGCACTGCCATTCCTTACAAGTAATAAGTTCTTCAGGAAGAAAGGTATGAAAAGTATCCACAATGAGAAAGGGTGCGAGATATTACATAAAGGATATAAACAAAACAAAAATATAAAGAATAAGCAAAGCTTTTCTGAAGTACATCAAAAAGAACCAAAATGTAAAATTTATAATCCAAACTGCTCTGAAGTATAACAAAGAAAAGGAAACAGCCTCTGCTAAACTTTGTGAATCCACTTTTAATTTTAATTAGAGCAAGGGAAACACACATTCAAAAGCAACACTGAGCGTCTATATACACACATACAATGAGAATGTATATAAGGAAAAAAAAAAAAAAAGATGATCAAGAATTTAATATTCAATTGTAATAGATTGAATTCAACAAGAACACTGTAATTGTCCACATATTACTTTTTAAAGTATACATATATCATCATTTAAAGTGTAATATAGCACAAAACTACATAATATATTAAAATGGGGCAGGGAAAAGCAAAATATTCATCTATCAAAGGTTAAATGATTGAGAACTGCAGGTGTCTGTAGATATTCAAGTTAAAAAATATTCCCTTAAATGTGCACAGAGAAGTAAAATGATTCAGTAAGATAAAGTGAGAGAGGAGAAAAAATAGAAAATAGGAAAAAAAAAAAAAAAAAAGAGAGACTGCTTGTAATCCTGCATTTTTGTAATATGTGGAAACAGAATTTTGGGCACCTATTTTTTCAGAGCATGTATTCCATTTAACTACTAAAAACATCAAAGGAAAACAAGAAATATTGAAAAATATATTAGGCTTTCTGAATCACGTATTTTGCATTTCTCTATTCAATGTTACCATCATTACAGCACCGTGCCTCAAGACATTTATACACAGCTGAACTATTAGCTTTCTTTTCATAATAAAAATAACACTGTTGTGTTTCGACCACACTTCTGTCTCTACTGCAGCACAATATTATATGTTTAAAGAGAAACACACATTTCAACTCTTTGGGTGGTAGCTCATTGTTTTTCCCTCATTCATTAAAACAGCACACCAGATATTTTTAAGTCTATTCTCTGCAAGAAATGTGTCTCACTATAAAGGATGTTTGGCATCTAGAACAACTTCCACATCTGTTAAAAGCCACTTTCGTCAAGAAACGCCTTCCAAAAAAGTAAAAATCTTACACTGAGGTTCACAGTTTTACCCTTCTTTGTACGTTTTCTTTCTGTCTGAGAAAGGAAGTCAACAGACCTGTTTCAGGCAGGTCAATTGATTGCTTATGATCGACCTAATAAGAGACAATTTTCCAAAACGTATTGCAGGAGCAGGAGGTGAGTATACATGTGAAAGAAGGAGTGAGAATTTCTTTGAGAGAGGAAAAAAAATACACTGCAATGCAGCAAGTCTGACACACAGAAATACGAGCTTTGCCTCTAGTACATTCAGGAAACAGGAAGCTTAAGATTTTTGGGTTTTTTTTGTTGCTGTTTTCACTGTATGTATTTGCATACTTAAAACTTATATTTAACAGTAACTCTTTCCAACCATTTGCAATACTGCTTAAAAGCATAACATTTACTAAAAGCAAAATGTTATAAATTCAACTAGTGAAATACTTTCTAACTTGTAGAATTTGCAGCTCCATTACCAATACAGCTCTCAAAATCACCGAGTATTGTGACCAAGCACTAAAGATTCTAAGAGAGTAATTTTTACACTCTCAGACCCAAGCTACAGTTCTTTAACTGGGAAAACTGTAAACCTGCCTCAGATGAAGCTTTTTGTTATGTTCACAAAAGCTACCCTAGCTTTTTGTTATGTTCACAAAAGCTACTAGGTTACCCGGGAAATTTAGCACATAATTAAGCCCCTTAATGCAGTTGCACTACATGACTATACCTATAAACAACTTTGTTTTCCTGGGGGTGGGCTTAAGTGGTAAAGCATTGATTACAAACAAACAAAAGCCAAGAACCAACACCTATTCAAGAGTTAAAATGAGATTTTTTTATACCTCTGCTGAATGTACCAACAAAATAATCAGAGTATCATGCTTTCAGGTTAAGAGGTATAATAAAAAAACATAAGAAATAAGCACAAAAGAACAGTTATTTCAGAATTAGGATCTCAAATTTAAGTTCTAATTATCAAGAAAGACATTGTCAGGAACTATGGCCATATTGGTTACTGAAACTGCAAACTATCTTGAAAATTAACTACCTTCTAACACCCCAACATGAAACCAGGCACATTAATCTTATCAGCCCCACAAATAAATGGTGTTTTTATGTGCATTTTGATACTCGTGCGAATAAAGCGCTTTCGCAGACAAGTTAAATAGGCAAGTCAGAAGTGACCACATTATCTAATTGACCCCAGGTCTTTAATGAGCTCATGTTTCAAAAAATTCTCTAGCTGTCCTAGAGACTTTTTTTTTTTTTTGGAAAGGTTACTCTTTCTCATTCTGTGCAAGACAAACATTGGCCCTCAAAGATAAAAAAAAAAAAAAAAAAAAAAGCCACCTCAAATGTACTCCTTCCATTTTCAAAGAAGGTTCCTACCATGGATTTGCTAATAGTTCTAACTTTAGAAACACAATCTCTTTAAAGAAAAATTCTGCCAGGAGCTGCAAAGCCTGACAGGCTATTCCAGAATTGCAGCAAGCATCTAATCTAGAAGGCCTGTGGGAAAAATAGAGGACCACACAGACAGGCAGAAATGTACAACCTCCCTAACCAGTTTCATTGTTTAAGCGATTGCAAGCAGCTTGCTTTCAAGCATCTTCAGCCTAACTCCAAGCAACTATGGAAAGCAAGAATACGGAATCGCTTTAACTCAATACTGCAAGAATAG